ACGAAGTACGCCATTACTAATTAAATAATTACGTTAGAATTAAATTTAGAGCTAAAATTAAAGCCCTTTCCCTTTCTAAAGGCTTCTATAAAATTGGAATGAAATCATATTTAAATAGCTATACTAGAACTCTCCTCTCTAGAGTTTTCTTCTAGAATTCTCCTCTCTAGAGTTAAAATTAGATTCTATTTAAATAGCTACACTAGAATCAAACTCTCTAATTAAGTAAGCGGTTATACGTAAGAGAAGCAAGGTAGTTAATTCTCAAATAGGTTTACTAATTACTAAGGTTATACGAAGTGGTTGTATAAATAGGCCTAGTTAGAAGGTTAGGGAAGCCTCTAGTCAAAATACTATATAAAGTACTATTAGATTACTTTTACTTTACTCCCTATAGTTAGTAGTATAGTTATTCGAAGTATATAGATGAATGCTAGAACCCTACTATATTGAAAATATTGTGTGCTATACAAATTTCTATATAAAACTATATTATTGGACATCGTCGTGATTTTTTCATGTATATGTAATACTATGGAATTTACTGTGTAAATGCTATTTTATATTAAAATAATAGGCTAAGGATTGAAATATGGGGGCCGCCTTAAGGTTTGGGGCCCCCAGAGCCTAGGGTTTGTGCCCCCGGAGCAAATGCCTTCCTTAAACGAAAGCTAGTAATATATTTATAGTACGTTTATTTAACAGTCTTAGGAGAGGGCGGCTATAAAACTATTTTTTCATTTTTAGTGCCCTAAAAAGGCGGTTCTAAGGCCGAAGATTTCCCGGAAGTTTTACTTCAAATAGGAATCTTAATTTCGGCGGGAAACGGAGAGACAATGGTCTTATCGGGAGAAGTCCGTAATCTTAAAGATGGAAGTATGCTAGTACCGAATTACTAAACTCTTTCGTAGCCCGGGCGTAAAATTTAAGTAAGTATTACTACTTAAGAAACCAGGGCGTAAGTGCCGTGATTATGATTTACTTCGAGAATTAGCGCGATCGAACATAAAGTAACTACTAGTAAAATCGATAGGATAGGAGTTACTTTATAAATTAAAAGTAAAGGCAATGCTAAAACTAAAGGCGGAGAAGGCGGCAAACTAAAGGCGGAGAAGGCGGCCGGTAGAAGATAACTACCAGCTTACGAAAAAGAAGAACCTTCTGTTGTGGTGGGGTCTGTCCCACCTTCCTGCCATTCACTGGCATTGTCTTCTGTCACGTGGGCCCAGTCAGCCCGCACCACTATGTATTTTAGCCCTCCACATTTCCTTTCCTTTCTTGTCTTCTTAGCTTAGCACAATCAACACACTTCTTGTGTCCACGAGTCTAAGACCTTCTCGTCCTTAAGAAATAGAGACTCCCTTGGCGTGCAGTGTCACTTTCCTACGTGTGCAGTGTCACTGCGTGTATAGTTATATCTACCCTCATATTCCTAGTCGTGTAGTGTTATAGTAATCCCTAACCGTGTGGTATTTCCCTTAGTATTAAATATTTATTCCAATAATTGGCGGTTAGTATCTCATTTTGTAATAGTTCGTTAGTATTGAGGGGTAGTAAGTAGAGGTAAAAATGTGTAAATTAATCATATTATTCTATTTACCCAAAGTAACTCTTAGCTATCTAATCGGATCGCTCCCTTACTCTCCCAGCTTCTTTCCTAAGCGCCTGACAGTCCTTCCATTTCCGGTTACAGCTTTAGGTACTAACGAACGTATTATAGTACGTTTTTTGCGGGGAGGCTGTTCGTTAGAGCTTGAGGGAGCAAGGGGATCGCTTGAGGGAGCCGCGGCCACCGCCACCTCTATAGCAATAAGCAAGTTATCTAAAGTAAAAGGATCTAACGAGGAGAGTGATTCTAGTCTCGGTGCCTCCACCTTGATAACAGAGCCCACAATAGAAGCGTCATTATTAATCTAATACTGCACGCTTAGGAATATCTGGGGATGGCTTCCTACATACGCATTGTACACTGCACACGTAGGAAAGTGACACTGCACGCCGAGGAAGTCTTAAGAAATATATACTCCTTACTAGATTAGCAGTAGTAATCGATATAAACCTTAGTATAAAATCCCTAATCCTATTTATACTAAAGTTTATATAGCGGGTTAACTACAAGGCTACAGCGCGCGAAGAAACGGGCACACTCATCTTTATTAAAACATATAATAGGAGCGGGGAGTTTTTAAGGGCAAACTCCAAAAGGGAAACTTAATAATAAAGCTACTTAATTTACTTAAACGGAAGTACTAAAGTACTATAATAGCCAAGCACTAATCGGTTTTACCTTAATAGTAGTAATCCTCTTCACAATATAGGGTACCGAAACATCGCCGTAAAGTAAAGCTAAACGAGAAAAATAGAGAGGTAGTAAGAAGTATAAAACTAAAATTTAATTTAGCGGGAGCGGTCCAAAGAAAAGCACGCTTATAAAGGCTAATCGCGTACGTACCGAAATCTATTTATACGATAATTATCGAATCTTACTAAAAGACCGAAGCACGTATCTAGGAAGCTAATAATATTAGTATTGTCGTCTCTAGTAGAGAGCTTATCGCGATCGCTAGTCGTAATCTTGGGGGTTACCCCGCAGTCGCGCCTAGTATCGATAATAACGAAGTCGCTCGATACACCAAATAGTTTTACAATACGATTGAAGCAATCGCAATAGTATAATTTGACGGCCAACTCAGCCTTTCAATTACAACTACTAAATGTCACGGGCAAATATCCCAAAGCCTAGCATACGAGCAAATAAGCAATATACTAGGTATAGAGGGTAAAAAGAAGCGATTATAAATTAGAAGGTAGAGGTTCCATGGGTGCCCAGCCAATATAGCAGTTATACTGGCTCTGGCTGGCTCTAGCTAGCTTGCCGGCCGGCCGGCAGGCACCATAGCTTCCATAACTAAACTAGACTATTTACAAGAATATAACGGCAGGCTAGGTATGCCCAGCCAGTCCAGTAATAATAGACTTGAGCCTAACAGAGTTAAAGGGATACGAATTTATAGATACGTTTATAAAGGCTAATTGCGAAGACGAATTTCTAGAAGACTATTGTGTTTGCGCTAATAAATTGGACTCTAATTTCGTAATAATAAGTAATAGATTTCTAATATATTAAGGTTGCCTAATCGTTTCCGATTCGGATTATTTACGTACTTATATTATCGACGAAACCTATTTAATATTATTTATAACCTACTTTGGAAAAAATAAGATGCGAATAAATTTTAAAATATAATATTAATAACCTTGTATAGTAAGATATATCGACCATTTCGTTAAGAACTATATGCAAGGGCATAGTATGGGTGAGTCGAAGGCAAAGCTAAGATTCCATCTATGACAGAAGATTTCAGATGGGGAAAAGAAAAGAGGAAGAGAATTAGGCATACGCGTACAGACCTAAATAAATACTCTGGTCGTACAAGCGACAACGGAACCTATATACGGGTTGCTATTAGCTAATCCCTTTATTCGTATCCCCTTTACTTATATAGTAAACCCTACACATACTAGGATCCACCCTATAGCCAGTCTTAGTATAGCTAATTAAATAACTTATATCCTTAGACCATACTATACCCAAAATCCTCTATATACTTTATTCCAATACCTTTATAAATTATATCCGTATATAGTACCTAGACCTAGTCTACTAGCGCCGTTATCTTACCCCCCCCCCCCCCCCCCCCCTATATAGATGACTCGTCCGCGAATTTTGCTAAATAATTATAGAGAACTAATATATAAAACTATATTCATTTGTTCTTCGTAATATACTGTGAACGCTTTAATCCTTCTGCTTCGGGGTATTTATTGTTATCGTATTACTCTACATCTTCGTTGAACTAATTTATTAACTGTCGGGGCGGGCCCGGGGCATCCGGGTTAGCTTCGTAAAAGTTTTAAAGTACCTTCGGCGCGTACTTAAAATTAGAAGTGGGATATTATTTTAGATTAGGGTCCTAGCCCCTCTAATCCGCCTAATAAAAGAGTTTTCTGTTAATTACTTTAGAAGTCGTAATTTTATCGACTTCCTATTCGGGATCTCCGTCTTCGTCCGTATTAATTAGTCCGGGGCACTCGAACGCTTATTCCGAAAGCGGGTCGTTATTGTATTTCCGTAAACGGTCTGCGTAGAAGATGTTAATACTTTTCCAACTCTCTAATAGTTCTAGCCGGTAGGAGTACCCTACTTTTTCGATAATCTTATAATGGTTGCGGGTATTGGGGAAATCGAGCTTGTTATTAGGCCGGGTAGTTGTAGACTAGAGCTTCTTAATAATAATAACCCTATTTTTTGGTTCGAAATCGGGCTCTCTCCTCTTTTTATTGGCTTGCGCCGCCTATTATTCTTACGCTTTTAATATTATTTCCCTAGCGTATACAATGTACCTTCGAATACGTTGGGTGTAGTCTTGTGCTTATTCTCGGGTAAATTGCTCCGCCCGGGGAATATTAGAGTCTTGGGTGCGGGCCTCCCAATCGAAAAGTATCTTTATAGGGCAGCCAAATATCATTTCGTGAGGGGACAGGCCTACGTTGTTTTACGGTAAATTATTTTAAATAGTATCTAGAGCGGGGATAGCCTTAAATTAGTCGTCTTAGTAATAGTTGACGAACGGTCGTAGTCGTTAATTAATATAGGCGTTTATTACTTCCACTTGGCCCGCCGTCTAATTATGTCCCGCGGTGGCTAATTTTTATTTTATTCCGGTTAGTTTTAATATTTCGTCTATAAACGCGGACGTAAATTATAGTCCTCTATCGGAGATCACCTCTTTGGGCATGCCGTGAACGCGGTATGGCCCCTCGTAGTATATTCGAGCGGCGTCGCGAGCGGTAGCGTTTTCCGTGCAAGGGGTGACCCAGGATGACTTCGACAGGCGGTCGACCATCACCAACGCGTTGTCGAACCCGTGCTTGTCTTTTGGCATCTTCAACTTGGTAAAGTTCTAAAGCGCGTTCTCCTCTTAGTTGGGGTCGTGGTCCTAACGCCACAAGTGAGTTATTAAGCTAGAGTAGGTCTTGATTTGTTCCGGGTGGGTTTCGCGTAAGTAAGGTATTAAGTTGCGATAGGTATAGCCGGCCAAACGACTCTTAACGTATAGAAACTTATCGCGGTCGGTTGGGTAGTAATTAGCGTTAATTTCGAGCTTGTCCTGGATTAAGCCGTACCAAGCCTCGAAGGGTACATCGTCTTCCTTATCCTAGTTATAGTACTTAGTAGGGTCGGTTTGATTAGTATTGCGGTAGTGGGAGCTAGAGTATTCTCCGTCGTCGGGGTCGGTCTCGGGGGGCAAGGTCGAAAAGCGGGTAGAAGCCTTAAGGGGAGCTTCGTTAGCGTCCTTCTTAATATTAGGAAGGACCGTTTCTTTGGCCTTTCCTTTATTCTTATTCTTAGTTACTCCTTTGCCGATGTTTAAGTTAGTAATAAAGTCTTTTAGTCCTTCAATAGTGTCTTCCTTCTCTATAAGGGAATCCTTCAATTATTATACTATACTAATTCAAAAAATCCTACTAATTTTTAAATTGAGCTTCGAACCGTTTAACGTCTTCAACACGGTCGCTTATATATAAAGTTTAATAATCCTTAGAATAATCCTATAAAATTTTATTTACTAAATTAATAAACTTCATTCTCAATTCAAATTCTTATATATCTGTTATTTCTTAAATCTTCTAATTATAAAGGATTAAATTTATACTAATATTGTTTTTAATATCTTTAATTCACTTAAAAGAAACTTATATTTAATCGGTTACAATTTTAATTTATTCGTTAAATTAAAATCTAAATACGGATTAAATTTAATTAGTTTTAATTTCGAAATACTTAATAATCTCTCTATTATTACTAAATTTAACTAAATTAGTTAGAAAAGGCGCGTCCGCATCGTAAATTAATAAATTTATAATATATAACTCGCGCTCGAATCGCAATTCGTATTATAGAAAGATATTAAATAATTCCTTATTAACTTACCGCAAACCTTCCTATCAATAAGCACTCATAAATAGGTAACACACCACTAGGGGGGTATATATATTCAAAAGGATATTAAAAAGGCGTCCCACAGGGAGCGAATCAGCGGATTAAAAAGTTTTATCATTATCGTACTTATATATCGAATTTATCGATCTCGTCGTACAACTTGGCTTCATTTCCAAAACGTATAGAATTACTAAAATAATTATTAGGGTCGACGTCGCAAATAAAATTTGAATCAAGATTAGAAATCGCATCGAAATTATATAATATTTAAGGACCGTAGTCGCGCTCAGTTACGTCGGACTTAACGAAGGAACCGAATATAATAACTCGTTATCAATTAAAATCGCTAAAGAAAATACGTTTTAATAAATACAAATTCAAATATAATTTTACAATGTACTCGACTAAAAGAAATTAATATTAAAAATACGTAAATAAAAATTAAATAAGAACGGATATTACTATATACCTAAATTCGGCAACGGGAAAAACCTTTAATCTCCAAATAAACTTAAAATTTAAATAATAATAAATATAATTACCCAAATCGGGGTAAAGTAATATAAGAATTTCGTAATTACTTAAATTCACCGTAAAATATAGAAAGGAAAACCTCGCAATTACTTAAATTCGCTGTAAAAAAGAGCGATCACGTACCCAGATTTAATAATTAAAGAACACAAAATAAATTATCTTAACTAAATAAATAAAACGCTTTCTAAGGGAGGAAAAGTAATTATATAATCGCAAAAGTACCCAAATTCGTCTCACGTACCTAATTTACATTATCGCGCACTTACAACGTCCGACAGCGAAATACGCCGATTTACTAAAATATTCCTTCGAGAGGGGGGTAGTTTAATTTCAAATCAGGCAATCAAAATTACAACTACCATATAATACCGTTAAAAGGGTATTATAAAAAGCACAATATATATATTATTTAAATATATATAAATTAATAATTCTAGGAAGAATCGAAAGAGGGGAGCTCGCGGCAATCGAAGACCATATACACGCGAACCAACTTATCTAACCTACAAGACCCATATAAGTAGGGGTGCGACCTACGGTCGCGGTTCAATTGAACCGACCATAGCAAATGCCATGGCACTGGGAGGTGCGCACAGTCAGCTGATCTGACATATAACACCACGATACCTTTCCGGTATCAGTATTATCTAGGTAGGACAATAGTAAGAAGGTTGCGGCGGATAAGGAGAACGATAATAAGAAGTCTACAACGGAATTCGGAGAAAGAGCGGTAGAATTTAGTCTACAAAATGCTTCCCCCGAAGAACGAATACTATAAATTCGTATAGTCGAATTAGAAAGCGAAAAAGTATTAAAGCGTTTAAAAAGTTTAATAGAATCCCTAAACGACAACCTTCCGGCGGATTAACGCCCTAAAGCCCTATATACGATAAAATACTATATTTATAGCGCGATTATTTCGTAAATTGAATAAATGGAATAGGAATTATTCAACAGTATTAAATATAAGTATACGTCGGAGGCGGAAATAATATTAATAGAGTAAGAGTTAAAAAAAGCCAAAAAGGATAATCAGTTAATTTTTACGTTCCTATTAATTAACGAATAAGGCCCGTATTATTTAAAGAAATTATTCGGTTAGGTTAAAGAACGCCCTAAGGATATAACTATTATTAGTACCGTAGTCTTTAATCATTATTTCTAATATAGAATTAAAGTAGAATTTACTGATTTATCCAAAATGAATAGGTCAATCGCTAATAGAAAGAACTAAATCCTATTAATAAATAACGATAAATATCGAACGCTAGTATTAAAGAAACTACCGGAGAAGTATTGTAATTATATCGACGTTTTTAGCAAATTCGATTCTAATTCTCTACCTAACCATCGACAAAAGGTAAATTACAAAATCCTAATAGAAGAAGGGAGGTCGCCTTCGGACTTAAGTTACAACTTACTATATAAAATAACGTTAAATAAATTAAAAGAATACCGGAAATATATTATAGAAAACTTTTAAGAAAGGTTTATCGAAATTTACTCAATTCCTTAGGCGGCCCCGGTACTATTGGTTCCAAAGGCCAATAAAAACTTAAAGTTTTATATTAATTACTAGAAGCTGAACGCGCTATTAAAGAAGGATAAGTACCCTCTCCCCCTAATCGATAAAACTTTAGCCCGTATTAATTAAGTAAAGATTTTTACGAAAATCCATATTCGGCAAGTATTCTATCGTATTAAGATATACCCGGATTATAAGGACTTAATAATATTCCGTACCCGTTACGGGGCCTATAAATATAAAGTCCTACCCTTCGGACTAATTAATAGCCCGTCCTCGTTCTAAAAATGTATTAATAGTATTCTAATAAATTATTTAAACGCATTTTATAGTACATATATCGACAATATCCTAATTTATTCCAAGGACGTCGAAAAGTATAATAATTACGTACGCAAGGTACTAAATAAATTAAAGGACGTTAAATTGTAAACCGATATCAAAAAGTACGAATTTAGTATTACAAAGACTAAATCTTTAAAATTTATTATTAATATAAATAGAATTTTTATTAACTTAAAGATTTTAATTATAAAGGACTAGAAGTAACCTATTATAATTAAGGGGTATAAGTATTTTTAAAATTCTATAACTTTTACTGTAAATTTATTAAGAATTTTAATTGTATAGCGCGTCCCCTAATTAAGTTCATCAAGAATGAATTACCCTTCTAATAAATTAAATGATATTAAGAAGCCTTTTAGGAATTAAAAATAACCCTATTAAGCGCCCTAGTATTTTCGTATTTCTACTACTATAAGGAAACGAAGGTAGAAATAAATACGTCGGATAGCGTTTATACGGGAATAATAAACTAAAAATAGAATAATAGCGATTAATACTCCGTAGCTTTCTATTTAAAGATTATAGTACCGGCGGAATTAAATTGCCCGATTTATAATAAAGAACTATTAGTAGTTATAAAAGCTTTAGAATAATAGCGCCCTAAGTTAAAAGGGGTTAATCTATTTACAATCATTGCCGATTATTAGGCTTTAAAATATTTCGGAAGTAAGAAGATATTAAATAGTCAATAAATTCCGTAATTAAGGACCTTATCGGAATATTAATTCCGTATATTTTATAGATTTAGCCTAGAGAATATGACGGCCGATACCCTATCCTACAAATTCGAAGACATAAAGATTATTAAAGCTAAAAAGGAGGAACAATATACTCTCCGCTTACTAAAATTAAACGAAAAAAGTTTTTTTATATTTATAGGAAATAAAGTAAATACCGAAATGATGACATTTCATCCTGGTGCACCCTCCTTTGGTTAGAGGTGCCCCAACCTTTATAGGTGCCCCAACCTTTATAGGTGCCCCAACCTTTATAGGTGCCCCAATCGGGTTAGGGTTTAACGTGTACGTTATTTTTTTCAACCCTTTAATACAGTCAGACAGTAATCGTACAACAACATTTCTATGCAAGACAGTGCCAAGCCCAGTCAGCCAGTGGGCCCCATATACACGACCCCCATCTTTAGACTTGGTGATTTTAAACTTCAACCTTTATAACCTTCTTTCTACTCCCTCTTTACTACCAGGCTACCTTTAATTACTAGAACAGGCTAGAATCGACCGCACGTACGTAAATATTAATCGCATCAATTACCAGAACCGTTTACTAACTTTCCTGAAGCTTCAAAACGCTGCGCGCATTGCGCACAAGACTCTAGCCAAGATGCCGCCGTGGGATCCAAATGCGCCCATCGACCTCCCCCCAAGGTTACACGAAGTGGTCGTGTAAGCAGACCCAATCAATAATATTAGAATTTGAAATACTATACCAAGCAAATATTACGAGATTCAGTTTAGTACCATAGTCTTTCGTAGTGTAAATGAATGCTAGAGAATTATCCCATGTGCAAAACATCGTGTACCATAGAAATCTCCATACAAAACTATGTCGCTGAACATCGCTGTTATTTTTTTTCATGTACATGTAAAACCATGGAATTTACCGTCTAAATGATATTTTACATCAAAATAACAGGCTAAGGATTGAAATATTAGGGCACCCATAAGGGTTGGGGCACCTCCAACTTGGATAGGGTGCACCCGGATGAAATGCCTAAAAGATTAAGGAGCGCGGTAGGCCATCCTCGAACTCCGGAATTCCTTAAGCGAATAGCGGGAAGTTGGGAAAGTATATTACCTAATTCCGTACTGGGCCCAAAAGCGACCGCTATATACGGAAGAGAGTCCCTCGGCGGGCAGTGTCACTTTCCTCCGCGGGCAGTGTACACTGCCCGTATAGCAACCCCTACCCTGATTTCCTCCGCGGGCAGTGTTATAGTAATTCCTAACCCTAACAAATCTAAGCTTAACACGTTTAACTTGGCGATTTGTAGCTATCGTAAGATTCCGTAACACGTTATTTCTTTATAACTAATAAGACCGTACTAATAAAACATTATGACTCCGGCGCTATTATTCTACAAAAATAAATTATATTACTAGCATTTTCAACGTTAATATACTTTTTAGAATTTAGCGATCCGTCTACTAAACTTTTCCTTTATTCTATATTATATTGGCTATTAGGATTAGTAGCGAATTAACTACTATTATACTACAAACGCAAACGAGCTTATAAATTGGATTAGTTGTTGTTGGCCTTTTATATATATAGATATTATTACTTGGATTTATATTTTTCAGTAACCTTAATACTAAGAAAGTCTTACGAGATGTTTTCACTAAATAATACCAGAATGTTAAATACTACGGGGAATGTCATAGGTTCGGCTTGGACTAGAGGGCAAAACGATGTGTAGATGTATGTACTATGGAGAAAAGACTAGAAAGGGAAAAGAACTGTGGAGGGCTAGAAATACAGGAAGGGTATGAGGGCATAGACCTATACGATAAGATAAGGGAGGGGTGGGAATATGAACCTACCCGACAATACGCCCCCGTAGCCCGAAATAGCTTTTAGGGACTTTTAGTATTATAAATAAATAAATAATTAAACTATAGTATTGATAATTCTTAATTACCCTAAGGAACCTTCCTTACTTCCAAGCCCAGTATCGAAATAAATCTGTTGTACTTATCCGCTTTTAGCGGCTTCGTTAAGCCGTTTATAATTATCTCCTCTCTTTTAATATATATAATATTAAATTCCTATACTTCAGTACTCTTAATAATCTATTTGAACCTGACATTTATATACTTATTCCTTCCAGGTACTTTTCGATTTAATACCCTATCTCTAGTATTCTTACTATCCGTATGAAGTACTTTTAATGGCGGTTAAATATAATTAAGCTCTTTTAATATATATGCGATTTATTATAAGGATTTTATTGTTGGGACTAAATTGGTAAATTCTATTTTTATTATATTCCTTGTTATAAAGGCCTATTTCTTTAATTTCTAGAATACTGGTCCCCTAGCTAGAAATACCATATATCTACCAATATTATATCGGGTTGTTGGGTCGTTTACGAAGGAAGTATTTCCGAATGCTTTTAAATTTATGTTTTTTAGTAATATTTTATTTTTAAGAATAATCCCTATATTTACTATCTTTATTAAATAACGAAATAGATATTTTATTATTAGTATCGACTTTATTATTAGTTTAGCGTTTGCTTTATATAGTGTCTTGATTGTAAATATAATATTTAGGAGAATCCCTATTGGTAAGTAATTTAAATTTCCTATTTTGTTAATATATTTCTTCTATTAATCTAATAATTTATTCCTAGTTTTATAATCCCCGACTTTGACGTCTAACGGCTATAGAGTATTAATTTTATTTAAATTATTATATTTAAATTTCTTCAAAAGAGCCTTCGTATATTCAGCTTAGCTTATAAAAATAGTTCTTTTTTCCCTATTCTGTAAAATATTAAAACCTAAGAAGGTCTTCACTTTTCTTATATATTTAAGCTTGAAATAAATTAACAATTCATTTTTAATATCGAAAATAATTAATTTAGAGGGCGCTATAATAAAGAAATTATTAATATAGAATGTTAATAACGCTCTTAGTCCTACGTTATTAAATAGATAAATATCGTTACTAATTAGTTTAAAGCCTAGGCCCTTTAAAATAGGTAAAAGTATTTTAAATTAGTAAAGAGGTATTTTTCTTTAAATTATATAATACTCTTCGAAGAAGGTAGATTAACCTTACTTTTTTATTTCGAGATCCCTTTTCGAGTCTTATTACTTACTTAATATAATATTTCTTTCCTTTTAGTATTACGGCGTTTAGAAATATTATATTAAAATTAAATTAATAACATTCCAAATTCAGGACTATTATAATAATTAAGAATATTTTTATACTTAGTACATTAACTATTACTACGTATATTTCCTCTATATCCTAAGATCCCCATTCAAAGTTATTGTAAATTACTTATTTAATACGGGGATCCTTGGGTTTTAAATCGAAATTATCCTTTTTATTACGTATTTATTTTTAAAATAATATTTCTAATCCCTTAATATACGGTATTAAATTATAAATTTTCCTCTCTTTTAAAGCTTTAATTTGTTTCTTTATCGTTAATTTCTAATATTCTTCGAAATACGCTAATTCTTTAACTTATTAGTAATTTGTAGGGATTCCTAGTTTCGAATTTAAATCGAGGTCGTATACAATTTTTATTAATATTAGATGTAGTAATTCAACAGTCTTTTGTAATACCCTTCTCTCTAGTAAATTGTAATAGAAGGTAGGGGTTATTGCATTACTATCCTTATCCTTTTAAATTATACGGTTATTATTAATTATTTTTAACTTATCTATTTTATTTTCCGATGTAGGTGCCGCCCGCCTTCGAAGGTTACGTACTATCTTTACCGAAGTTTGCTCTAGTTCTGTTATTGTAGGTTCTATCCCCGAAAATACCCGGTATTATTCTGTCGTTAGGGCTTCCGCCCCCGAAGATATTCGAAATTATTCTATTATCGAATTTTCCGGTAAGCCTTCGTCCCTAAATAAGGGATTAGGTAATAATTATTAGTGTAATTGATTCCGTGATAGTAGGATTGGCTCTTCTTCCTCGAATTCGTATAGATTAACGAACGATGATTGAACGAAGGATTTATCGAACGGAAATATTTCGTTAAAGTCCTCCTTATCGCCGGTCTCGTTAAAGTCCTCCTTATTACTATACTCCTCTTCTATATATTCTTTATCGCCATTAACCCTATGGAATAGCTCCAACATATCTTCCGTACCTTCGAATAATCGGAATAACTCCTCTCTATCATCATTTTATTCTACTAAAAGTAAAATATCCGTTTCCGATACCTTTATAGGTATAAGTAATCCTTCCGACGAACCTTGGGATAATATCGGTCCTAGGGATAAATTAGTCGGGCCTAAAGAAGGACTAGTCGGGCCTAGAAAAAGACTAGTCAATCCTAAAACTAGACTCGCCGGGCCTAAAAGTAATATTATTAAGCTATTAAATAAGAGAATAGAATTCGTAGAAATAGGTACCGGTATAATATTTAGTAATAGTATAAGTAGAATTAGTATATTAAGTTAAGGGTTTTCTTTAATACTTAGAATTATTTCGGGTATTAAGTCTTTCGTTACTATTAACGTTAACGGTTTTTCCTTTAGCTAATTATTAATTACCGTTATCTATACATTTTTCTTACTTTATAGCACTTCCTCTACCTACTCAATCAAATAATTTAAGAATATAACCGTATAATTAAACTTTTTTTCTACTAGGCTCTCTTTTAGTAATAATTCGAAGAATCTCAATATATTAGCCTTAATTAGTTGCTTCGTCGTAAGATCCTAAATAAAAAAAATTTATTTATTTAGGTTTCCGTAGCTTACTAGATAACTATATGTCGCCTATTCTACGAACCTATTTCCTTAGATACGTCTTTCCTTCTTAATATAGTAATATTGTTGGAAGTCCATGCCCTGGGCCGCCCATTCACCGGCTTTGCCCATTCACTGGGCCGTTCCATTACCGGCACTCCCTTCCAGGTATTTAGGCTGCCCTGGTTTCCGTTTCTCCTCTTCCGTTAGACAACCACAATCAAGCCCTTTTCGTTGTCGCCTTCCAGCCTCCATCAAATATCGGCTAAGGAAAGTATACGTCGATTTCGGCCCTAGTGGTTATAGCGACGGTTGAGGAAATTATTATTATTTTCGTCGTTAATATTATTACGGCTATAATTAACCGGGATTTAGCGTTAGCAATCCGGTACTATATTTTAGCGCTAATTAGAAGAATTGCCCTCGGTAAGTATAAAATATAGCTGGTTGCGGCTACTACTGGTATTTCTATGACCATAATTATTATAATTATAATTATTACGACCGCGGTTGCGGGGGCGCTTATACGGACTGCTACGTTTACGAGGACTGTCGTTTGTAGAATTAGGGCTAGAAATACGACGAGGACCGTTGCTATGTTGACTACTACTGCTACGACTACTATTGCTATGACGACTATTACTGCTATAACGACTACTATTGCCTTAGCTACTAGTAGGGCCGCTAGGATGACCACTACCAGCCTGGGCAGTACTAGCCTGGGTACTAGGATGACTACTAGGATGACTATTCCTTTTTGAAGTATATAATAGTATTGGCTGCCATGGATTCGGGTTATGCACCCGTTGAAGGGGAGGAGGATTACGGGTAATAGAGCGCTCGAGAATTTCCAAGTCTATATTGTTTTGGATAATTTGTGGAATAATAAGTTCGAGGGGGAGTTCTTTAAATATTCTCCTGTTTACTTCGATAAACAATATATAGAATATAAGACTATTGAATATATTACGGTATTCGGTCTTCGTATTTTCGTCCTTTTTTTTTTAGCCAAGTTAATACCCGGACTACGACCTTTATGTAATTCTCTTTCGGACTTAATTACTTTACAAGCTATAATACCTAAGTCGATAATAATGGTTTTTAGACAAAAAAAAAGGCAGATCCTCTTATTTTCCGAAAGTAATTTAATAGTTAATATATAGTATAATACAAATGAAGATTTCCTAGAAGAAATATGTATTGATCTACGGTTTAATTAATATTTTAAAAGTTTTACAGTCGCTAGGGTCGTTGTAGTCGAATTCTAGAAGTTAGGGGTAGTCTTTAAATATAATAACGAGGTAAGTGTATAGTTTGTGATATAAGAATTTATTCTTTTGGGATTTATAAGTACTTTTAGCGTATATACGAAGGCGACGAAATTTCGACATTCGAATATCGATGCTAGGTACGGCCTATTTAACAACCTAGTTAGTAAATTAATTGGAATAGTACGCGAATATATACTAACGAATATTTTAATAGATTTCGTTAATAACCTCCTTAATATCTTCCCGGGGAACAAACTATATAGTACTTACCTCCGTTTCTATAACATCTATATTAATAGGGTTATATTCGAATCGAGAGGGTATACCTAATACCTTTAATTCCCTCAGATTAGCGCGGGTAGGGTTAAAGAAGTATTTAAAAAGAGACGTACTCGGCGGCAGTGTCAAAAATTATCCGGGCGGTGTACACTGCCCGTATAGCTATATTAACCCTCATATTCTTAGGCGGGCAGTGATTCCGCAGTGGGCTCTGCCATCGAGGTGCAAGAACTAAATGGATTACCCTCATCGTCAAACTCGTTAGATTAGTCAAATCCTTTCAGTTTGCCTCAAACAACGAGCTTCTTACTCTTTAAATTGCCGCCTCCTTAAGCAATTACCTTACTCTATCAAGCTCTAAAGCGAATAGCTTACCCGCAAAAATCGTACTATAGTACGTTCGTTAGCACCCCCAGCGGTAATTACAAGCAGGAGGACTATTAAACCTTCAAAAAAGAAGTTCGGAAAATAAGAAGGAGACTGGGTGGGTAGATAGATTACTTAGACTTCGATTGTTATACGTATAAATATATAACTATTTGGATTTGCACGTTTCAGCTAGTATACACAACCCTCAATACTATTAAGCTATTACTTAGTTACTAGTTTTTATACTAGAATACTGTAAAAACCTTCAATACTACGGGTAATATCACAGGGTTAGAGATTACTATAGTACTGCCCGCGTAGGAATTCTAGGGTTGATGTGGCTATACGGGCAGTGCACACTGCCTGGATAACTTTTGACACTGCCCGCCGAGTATCTCTCTAAAAAACCTCTCTTCGAGTGGGCGTTAATTAGGGTCGTTGATAATTGGCACCCCGAATCTGTTAGGACCTTAACTAGAACCTTAACTATAACCTCATAACTAACGATTGCTACTAGGTAATTGAAGTAAAGATTAAGCGCTATGGTGAGGGCCGCTATGCTGAAATTGACCGCTATACTAAAATTGACCGCTATATTGAAAACTATCATATGGTTGACCATAATCATTATAACCACCATATTAAAATTAACCGCCATACTGAAAACCGCTATGTTAAGGACTATATTCATAACCGCCATATTGAGGACCGCTATATAGATTACCATATTCAATATATAGGCTACTATATATATCAAATAAATTGCCATATTCGTTATATTGGAAATTACTACCCTACGCCTAGTAAGGCTAGCCTAATTAGGGAAACCAGCCTTAGGAAGAACCTTAGGAACCCTACGGCATATTACTACTACTATACGCACGACTACCATACTAAGTACCAGACCGTAACTAAGATTAGGTATTGTATTAGGATTAGGAATTATATTAAGACTAGGTACTACGCTAAATATAAATTTTATTAGTAAAATTAGTACCAAAAATAATTTCGAACCCCCATACCGAATAGTCGTCATCTCCCGTATATTTAATATAATTAATATAAACCTTATTAAAATCTCTACCGGTAGTACGAACGGAAATTACATTAATAATAATAATAAATATAAATAAACGAATATTAATACGAAGAATTTATAATCTAATAATAGCAATAGTAAGTATAAATAAATTAATTATAACCGGTAGGGTAATTAGAATTATTTTCTACCGACTTATTTGTTACCGCCTATCTTTATTTTATTACTTCAATTATTAAATTGTAGCTAGCAAATCGTCGAGTCCTATATGTAACGAATCTTCGGTAGCGCTAATAACGATCTAAGTATCTCGTAGAAGGTTTTTCGATTATTAGCTTTATAAATATTATCCTCGGGGTATTACTTCGACCGTAAAAACTTTAGGGGGGAGGTATAGCACCTTAACCTCGACCTCAAAAACTTTGGGGATGAATAATACCTTGACCGCGAAAACTTTAGGGGGGAGGTATAATACTTCGACCTTAATAACCTTAGGGAATGAATTGGCCTTAGGGAACGAATTAGTCTCGGAATCCCTAGAGTATAAATTAACCTTAAGCTTATCCTTATCTTTATCCTAATCGTATATTGCCTATAGGTTGTCCTTATAGGGTGTAAATATGCCCCGTTATTATTATTAAATATTGTAACGGCTATATAATATTACGTTTATTAGGTATATCTAATTTTTTTTAAAGGGGATTAGTCGATACGATCGCGGCAGATTTAATATAACGTCCTAATTATTTTATAGGTACGGTCCGATTATTGCTAATATAGGGTGACGAAGTATAGCGATATTAAATGAAGTTAAATAATATAATAAATAATATATAATTAGAATTTACTTATTTGATCCTATCCTTAAGGGATTTGTAAATAGTTAATAATAGTACGCTAGGAATTGACTGCTGGTATATTATTTTTAATAAATACTTTAGGGCGGGGGTTATCGAAGTCGCTAAATTCGTCGTCATTGCCTTCGTTTGGTAGCGGTAAACGCTCGCTACCATCGTTATCGTCGTTATCGGCGAAGGGTTTATTATTCCGGCCTTTCTAGGCCGAAGAAGCGCTATAGGCGCCCGCTCTACCCTTGCCAAGCATCTAGATAGAAATTAGTCGATAATAATTAATAATATATATATATAAATATATATTCACGGTAAAGGCAAACTAATACTCGCTAGGAAGCATGCGACAAGAAGGCTTACGACAGAAGCGCAATAGAAGAAGATCTTGTAATAGAGGAAGGTCTTACGACTTGCGACAAAAGAAGGTCTATAGTAAAAATACTAGCGACGAATTACCGTAATTAAAAGCTCGACGTTGATCTGGCTTACTATACGCAATAGTTTAATTACGCACTTATCTTTTTAGTTCGAGAAAAAATTATAAGAAGGAAATTAGAAGGAGGGGAGAAAAATTAGGTAGTAGCGAATTACTAAAAGTTTAAAGGTAGTAAATAGGATTCTAAATTCCGTTCGAAATTTGTAATTGTACTAGCGGAGCGCGGGGTCTTCTACCGCCTTCCATTCTACGCTAGTACCTTAAAGAATCTATATATTTGTAGTAAAAGAAATTAAATAAAATAACGGGGTAATATTCGATAATACTAATAAATAGCGATAATATTGATATTAGTAATAGTATTAATAGTATTTTATTTATTTACCCACTTAATCGAAAGCTTTAAGTAGGTTTAGGCTATAGTAATATCACGGAGTAGGGCGTGCACTGCCCACTAGGTAATACCAGCAAAAGATGGAACGATGTTCTGTTCGCTAGACAGAACTCGAATGCACGCACTATATAGATAGGACAACACATGTCACAGCTTAGGCATCTGAACTTGCCCTGTGACAAGTAAGTATAATTTTAGTAAGGGACGGATAATAGGGCGACCAATAAAATTGATTAAGTAAATAACTAAATCAATTAGCTCTTAGCCCCGCACTATTACAACCCCTATATTCCCGCGCTATAAATTCACACTATCTACTTTAGGACTTATATATCTTGGTGAATCTAAATATTATACTTTACCGAAAGGTAAATAAAAATATAGAAAATATAAGACTACTAAAATAGCAACGAAAATAAAATAATAACGTACCATACCCTCTAGTGGGGTAGGGAAGCTAAATATTACCATCGTTATACTATATAGCGCATATACGTTTACTCCCTCTAATTTAAAATATATATAAATATACTTCGTATTATTTAGTATCAATATAAAATAAAATATACGGCAATAGAATTATAATCCCTACAAATACTTCTCTACATTTATAAAGTATCGTACTTGTAAATTTCACCTCTACTAAATTTTCTCCTCTAATAAACTCTCCCCTTTACTTTTTTATTAAACTCTTTTTTATATAATTAACCGAACTCTTCCCTTATTTTTCCATTTAAATTCGTTATATTAAAATACCCGGCCTACGAACACCTAAGCATTTTACTCGCGCGGGCACAAGCCCTATTCGGCTTAACCTCAACGAAATACCATTTAGAGTCGGCTATAACAATTATAGTATACCTTGTAATATCCCTAATTTATTAGACTACTAAGAATAATATCAAAAATTACCAAATTATACCGATTTTTATACCCCGCTATTCAATAATAATACGGTTATGTCTAGTACTAAGAATAACGAAAATAATAATAGTTACGGTAACGACGAGGAAAATAATAATAAGAAGCATAAAAGTGAAGGGATATTTAAAAGTAATTTACTTTATTTTTAATTTATTGCTAATTCAATATAGGCGCTATCAATTAGAATGATATACTCTAAATTAGATTCGCAAACTTAATAATCGATAATAAAAATTAAAATAGTCTCGGACACCGGTGCAATGCTGGATCCCTAGTTCAAGCAACGCGCGCTGTATATTAAAGCGTGCTCGAAATCCGAATCACGTAAGCAAAGTTAAATCCGAATCTTTTTCGTAATACCATGCCTCCCCGGCTAAACCCGGGCCGGCTTATACGCTAGGGATTTTAATTACCAATAAAAAACTATATTTTAATTAGAGAGAAAATTATTATTATACGTATATATATAATTTCTAGCTAAACTAAATAATATCCAAGTTGCTGGGTTGTATTAGTGCTGGCTGGAATGCTCGTAATGCCCGGGCCGGGCTCGGAAGTAGTGATGCCTGGTGCCCGGGTCCTTGATGTTTAAACGGCCGGGATTGGGAGTTTTGTTAACAACTTTCTTACCTCGTTAGCGGCCCTTATAACAAATGTACGGTTAGAGGTTATTTATAGGGCGCTCAAATTAAAAGACTCGTTAAATATAAGACCCTATAAGGTCTTAATTCGAGAGTAGGCTATATATATAAAAACCTAATTTAAGAATCATTCTTCGAAATATCTAGTACGGCTATATCGAATATAGAACCCTACAATTTATATATATTATAATAGTATATATAACTATTAAGGGGAATTATATCCTCTTGTATTAGGTATTTCTATATAATATAAAGTCTTGTATACTTTGGAATATTGGGACGACATTTCAGAATTTTTCTTAGTCTTCTTAGTTAAGAAAGTAGTAAAGCTTAATATCACGGGGCGAGAGGGCACCGTTGGGGGTAGGGTAAGATATGCGTTGTTGTACGAAGGAGAGAAAGGGAAGTGTGCGTAGAGGATTAGCTATATAGGCGAGAGTTTAAGCAAGTTAGTCTATATGCGCGTACGTAAGATTGTACGTGATTAGAATATGTGACTAGTGCGTGAGTGTATAGCTCTAGGCTATAGCACCGGCTCTAGTATAGCACATGTGCAGTCAGTGTAGTGTAATTACACCACAGGCTAGCCCTATGATACTTAATATACTAATCA